AACCCATTCTTAACATGCCTAAGGCCCTGGGTTCAATCCTTGTCACCACAAATAAATGTTTTAAAGAGTATAGTACAATAAATACATAAGCCACTAGCAGTTATTATAGTTATGAAGTATTATATACTTTATATTTCTTGTATATCTGTAAGCAATAATAATTTTTCATGTTCATTATAATCTTTTTTAAAAAATGTATTTAGTACAGGGTCTGCAGGATCTCACTACAGAGATCAGACTCGTAGTGATCCTCTTACTTTCAGCCTCCTAAGCACTGGGATTATAGATGTGCGACACCATGCCCAGTCTCAGTCACTGTCTCAGTGGGCCCTGAGGGTGGGGCCAGCACAACACCATGCCCAGTCTCAGTCCCTGTCTCAGTGGGCCCTGAGGGTGGGGCCAGCACAGTGCACCAGGGGTTGCAAACCCTGGTCCCTATGTCTGCCTGAGCAGGCACTTTAATCTACTGAGCTATGAGTAGAGCTATGAGCAGGCACTTTAATCTACTGAACCTGGTCCTGCCAGGTTCATTATAATCTTAAAGGATTATATGTTGCCTGACATTGACCCAAATGTTGCTCTATTGTGCATAATTATATGGAAGATTATTCACTTTCAAAATTAAACAATATTACATTCCTTTGTAGTCATTTACTACTGATTATCACGATCACTCATAATTTTTCATGTTAGTAATTTTATTTTTCCTCTGTTTGAATGGAGGGTTTTTTCCCCCCTTTTTTGAGGGGAACCAGCAATCATAGTCAGGACTTTGCACTTGCCAGGCAGGTGCTGTACCACTGAGCTATATCCCCAGCCCTAGGGCCCATTAAAAGGTCAGAATAAAGTAGATTTTCATTTTGAGATAGCAGGAAAGTTTTAAGAATTTTTAAGTGACATAATCTGATTTATGTTTGTACAGTATTACTTTGGTTGCTTTAGAGCACAAAGAATCTAGGGGACAGGAATAAAAACAAGGAAACAGTAACCTGTATAAGAAGTGAACATTATGTATATTAAGATTGCAGGTAGTGAGAAGTTGACCTGATTAGAAAAAAGAAGAAAAAAAAAAAAAGTTGACCTGATTAAGGTATACTGTAAGGGTGATCTACAGTATTTGCTAATAGATTTGATGAAAGAGATAAAGGAAATTAAGATATCAAAGATGACTTCTAGATTTGATATTTAAACTACTAAGTGCATTGGTGGGAATGGTTACCCACATTTGTAATCCCATTACTCTGGGAAGCTGAGACTGGAGGATCGTAAATTCAAATCCAGGCCAGGCAATTTATGGAGAGATTAATGAGATCATGTCTCAGAATAAACAGGCCTGGAGATATAGCTCACTGCAAAGGCCCTGTACCAAATACAAACAATCTAAGTGCGAAATACCAGCAACAAAAACTATTGAGTGCATGCATGGCAAGTGCCTTCTGCGAGGACATTGGGAAGGGCCAGGAATGTTAGTGGAAGATCTTCCATATGGAAACACAAAACCAGAAGGTTTGGGGGGTTTTCTTTTTGTCTTTTTGAGACAGGGTCTTCCTATACAGTTCAGGCTGGCCTTGAGCTGTCTTTGTAGCCCAGGCTGGTCTGGAACTAAAATGATCCTCCCAAGTGCTGGGATTATGGGCATGCACGACCATGCTGGGCAAAACCAGAGTTTTATCAAGTGTCTTCACTTAATGTAGTCATTAAAATATTCTGATGTTTTTAATCTGGATTTTTTTTCTCTTTAAATTGGAGAGGTTATTTTCTAAATTCTTATTAATTTGAAATCTTTAAACTGATGCGTATGTCCTCCAAGGGTTTGTTTCTTTTTTCCTATTTACTAGAAGTACTAGTTAGGCAAGTTTGACATAATATGTAACTATAGGATAATGATAGTGTTAAATTTCTCTTGAAATAGGTTTAATTAATGTTTAGTATTTGTGTTAAATGTGATCATTTTAAAACACAAAGCAGAAATAAAAGTAGATAACTATTCCTTTTTTTTTTTTTTTTTTTTTTTTTTTTTTTTTTTGGGCAGAACTGGGACTATTCCACTTTTTTAAAGAAAGTAAATTAGCACTGGGGATTTCACTCAGTGGCACAACACCTGCCTGGCAAGCTTGAGGTCCTGAGTTCAATCTCCAGTACTTTAAAAGAAAGAAAGAAAGGTTGGTTGGTTGGTTGGTTACATGAAGCCGGAAAAGGTGGTTCACACCTGTAATCCCAGCACTGTGAAGGCTGAGGCAAGGGAATTACCACGAGCTGCAGGTTAACTTGGACTACACAGTGATTTCAAGGTGTGCTTGAACTACAGAGTGAGACCATGTCTCAAATTCCCCTCCTCAGGCAGGTGCAGGGGCTGGGAGTTCGATCCCCTGGACTGCTGTGCGGGCCCTGCCATGCTGGACTGGGCATGGTGGCACGCCCCTGTAATCCCAGCACTTGGGAGGCTGTAAACAGGAGGAACATTATGTGTCTGATCTGCACAGTGAGACCCTGTACACCCTGTCCTAAGTACAAAAAACAAACAAACAAACAAAAAACCAAATTCCCCTCCTCCCAAGAAAAGGAAGGAAGAAAGAAAATATTAAATGTTCAGCCACGATGCTTACAGTGGCACCTTGGCTGATGAACTTAATTCTTTCCATAGTTCTTTTACTTTCCATTTTGTGTCTTTGTCCTTGTATGTCTTTGTATTAAACATGTTATTTTAAGCGGTATATTGTGGCTGGGAGATTGAGGGAGTAGGGTTACTGGAGCCACTGAGTTTGAAACAAGCTTGATTTGCTATGAGACACTATTTCACATGTATGTATGTATGTATGTATGTATGTACTGGAGATTGAACTCAGGATCTTGTGCTTACCAGGCAGGCACTTATGCCACTGAGCTATCTTCTGGGACCTCAGTTTTAAAAAGAAAAAGTTAGGTCAGGTGTGGTGGTGCACATCTATAATTCTACACTTGGGAGGCAGAGCAGAGGTGTCACTGTGAGTTTAAGGTCATCCCAAACTACATAGCAAGAGACAGTCTCAAAATAAACACGGGAGGCTGGCCGAAAAGCTCAGTGGATTAAAGTGCCTTCAAACAGGTGCAAAGCCCAGGGGTTCGATTCCCCAGGCCTGCCCCCTGTGGTGCATTGAGACGACAATTAAGACTAGGCATGGTGGTGCTTGCCTATAATCCCAGCACCTGGGAGGCTGTAAACAGGAGAATCACTAGGAGTCCTATCTAGTAGTGAGACCCTGAACACCCCTGTAGGCCCTTCCTTAAAATAAAAAAAATAACCAAAATGGGGCAAGATTGGTCCGTCCATCCTGAACAATGACCTGGCCAACTTAGAGGCCAAGTGTATCCAGATGCTAGACTCCGGGGCCAATTTCTGCACCTGGATGTAATGGGCAGGCATTTTGTTCCCAACATCACCTTTGGTCACCCTGTGCAGAAAGCCTCTGAAAGCAGCTAGACCAAGACTCTTTCTTTGACATGTACATGATGGTGGCCAGGCCGGAACACTGGGTGAAGCCAATGGCTGTAGCAGGAGCCATTCAGTATACCTTTCATCTTGAGGCCAAAGACAACCCAGGGGCTTTTGATCAAAGACATCTGAGAGAATGGGATGAATGTTAGCCTTTCCATCAGACCATCAAGACAGTTGAGTGTTTGGCACCATGGGATAATCAAATTGATATGGCCTTGATCATGACAGTAGAACCTGGGTTTAGAGGACAGAAATTCAAGGAGGACATGATGCCAAAGGTCCACTGGTTGAGGACCCAGTTTCTATCTCTGGATATAGAGGTTGATGGTGGTGTCGGTCCTGACGCTGTCCACAAATGTACCAAGGTAGGAGCTAACATGATTGTGTCCGGCAGTGCCATTATGAGGAGTGAAGATCCCAGATCTATGATCAACCTATTCAGAAATGTTTGCTCAGGAGCTGCTCAAGACTGTTCCCTTGATCGATGAAACCTTTTCGCTAGAAAACAACATAGCCTACCAGAACGTATCACAGTTGAGGCAGTGTTGCTTTCTTGAGCAATTATTCCAGTGTTTAAAATCTGTGGTACAGAATGTTCTGAGGGGTTAGGGATGGGTGTGTATTATCCACATTTTAGCAACACAATTTAAAGATTAGGATGAAATACCCAGTTTTTATGGGCTAATTGATTTTTATAGTGTAAAAATATAACTTAAGGTTTCAAACAGAATTATGTCTTAATGCCTAAAGAGGGAATATTATCTACTATGAAAAAAATTTTTTTGTATTTTCAAAAAGAATATTCTATTATTTCCCAGCTGTTCTGTAAAAGCAAGGGGAATCTTTGTTTTTCATAATTCATATTATTTTTGATGTGTTTATAAGCCTGATAATATGAGTAGAGTAGAACTAAAACATAGGGGGCCTGCCCATTAGCTCAGTTTGTTTAAGTGCCTGCTTAAGCAAAGCAGTCAGGCTCAGGATTCTGTAGTTCGATCCACAGATCCTCCTGCCTTACCAGACCTGCCCTTAAGGAATCCTGAGCTGCCCCCCCCCCAAAAAAAAAAATTCCTTCTGAACTTTTGGGGCTGGGGAGATAGCTCGGAGAATAAGTGCTTGCCTGGCAAGTACAAGGGCCTGAGTTCAATCCCCTGTTCCG